CTATTTTATTAAATATATATATATATATATATATATATATATTCTATATGAAAAAATGGTAGAATAATCAATTTTATTGATTAATTATCTAGTTTCAGTGATCAATTTTATTACTTTATAAAAAGAAGCAATAATATATAATAACGATATAGAAAAAATTCCATTCTTACCCATTAAATTGGGAAGGTTGTATCAACTTTATCATTATAGATTTTAAATTCATCAAAAAATTAGACCTGGACTTAAACTCTCCCCCATTTTTCACTAATTCACCCACTAATTTTAACAAATCACAATGTCAACGTCTAAAAAAATGTCTAAACAAATCAAGTTTTACACACAACTAAATTCGATAAATGCAAAAATTTAACCATTAAATACCTTTGCTAAAATTCACAAATTTCTAGTTCTGATGTCATTGCTCTCTAAAATCGTATTATTACTTACCAAAATACGTCTTATAATTCATGGAACAAACATGAGAATGTTTTTCTTTACTTATTTATCAAATGAAAATTTATAAGTAGATAAAGATTGCAACGCTTATTTAAGTTTAAGCTAAAAATTGTAAAATGTTTTACAAATTCGAGGTAATATTGTAACAATTATCTAAGTTTGAGGTGCAATTTTAATAAATTAAAAGTTTAAGATAAAAATTGATATACGCGATTAAATTTGGATTTATTCCCTCGGGGTAACGAAACAAAAAAGGTGAGAAAATTTATCACTGACCCTCTTTGAAAAGAGAAATTTTGACCCCATTTGGGTAACTCCAAGAAAGTCTAGTCATTTTTATTCATAGTTCATACATGAAAAAGACATGAGAGCCCTTATTGTTTATTTTTGGGTGCACTTTATGAAACAATTTCACGTGGATCCCTTTATTAACAAGTTGAAATTTATCCTTTGATTTAGGGTTCATATTATATTTTTTAATCTATTAATTAATCAAAATATACGTTTTTGATATTTAAAATAAACTTTTAAAGTACTAAGGTGGCAAGTATTTTGTAGGATGAAATATGATGACTCATTCCAACTTCCATCTTGATAAAATAGCATGCTTAATTTGTTTATCGTGTTCTATATGTGAGATATTTACTAATTTGTATAAATATTATCAATATTGATAACGAGAGAAGTAGTTCATGTATATTATAAACTCAAGATAGTGGTTTTTTTTGGACTCATCAATCTTAGTCGTATTTCATTTTTGAACTAGACGTTCATTTGAGTTTGTTGGACTCTGATACTCTATCAATATTCACGAGGTTCATCATAAACCAACTGTTTGTAAAATGGAATGACTTTAGGATGATAGATATGACAAAAGGTTAATGGTTAAATTTGAGTAATAATTATCTGAATGTGTAAGAGTATGTGATTAGACTATGAAGAGTTAACTAAGATTAATTTTTGCCACGACAGCCTCAAATTCATGAGAGATTGAATCTGAGATGAAGATAGATATGACTCACGTGAACAGAACTAAAATCTTCTAGGAGGATAGAAATAAAGATGTTATTGGGTAAATTTGAGGTGACACACGTCCATACTCCAATTGAGCTATGTGGACACAACACCCATGCTATGCGAGACTAAGGAGTTCGAGCACTGGGTCCCAACCCGAGCACGTCTGGGTGGTTCGTATAAGAGACAACCAATAGTATGGACGTTGACACCCTACGCCTAAATCAGGATAGGTTCCAGAGGATCGTTTGTGCTGAGAGGGAAGCGAGTATCGGTGGTCCCTAGGAGCCGTGCTCCTCCCTCTACCACTATTTTTTTCCCTCTCTTCATATATAAGCTCCATAGAATCCCTAATTCAAGTAACCCGAAATTTCTACACTAGTCTTCAAGAAAATTCAGCACACACTATCACTGAGATTTTCATA